GGTAGAAACCAAAAATAAATTAATGTAAGACAGGAGATTCAGTTTAGCTTTGAGCACCACAGGAACACATGACAGGTTCTGGAAGATACACTACCTTGAAATACAGAAAAAATAATGAATTACTTATACAGTAGAGGGAAAAAAGAGACTCAAATAGTGAGTAAAAAGAGAGAAAGGCCAACAGAAGGGAAGCTATTTGTTAACCTTGGAAGTAACGAAGGAGCTACCCACGCGTTTCACCATAATTTTCACTGAGGAATGCCGTGAAACCGCAAAAATGTTAATTAAACTAGGATCGGAATGTGCGGCTATGAATGTGAGGCCAACTTCAACGGAGTAGAGCTCCAGCATATTTGCTGCACTGCATGCTGCTAGCTAGCTGCAGCAATGTAAAGGTGTGGCTGCAATGAAGGTGTGGCTCAATCAAGCCATGCTCCACCCCCACACACAGTAAATGGTGGCACATGGCCCTATGTGGCGAAGAATGCAGACACACACAACAACTACCTATACCTCGCGTAGGCGAGGCCAATAACAATAATATACTGAAGAGAAGAGTCAAGCAGTAGTAGAAAGACATTGTCAACACAGTTCAAAGCTTGAAGTGAAGGCATTCACAGTCAAATACTTGTAGTGGAATACAATAATCAATTCCTCCAGATGTCAGGAAGTAAGTGACATTTGCATAATATTGATTCCAGTCTTTCATGTTTGAACAGGACAAAGTTGTACTAAGTAACTTTTTTTGCATGTGCATGTACGTGTACATTACATACAGATTTTCATTACCCAAAAACATGCAAGTTACATGTCATGGTAAGTTACATGTACTACTATACACAATAATACACTGTGTACATGTACAATGAAGCATGCTGTTTAGCTCACTTAGGATGGGAATCTTGGCTATGCAACATAGGGAGGGCTCGGAGCTAATGAAAGAACTCAAAAGTTAAGAAGATATAAAAGCTGCCACAATAATAATAGTAATAATAATGACATGCTTTGAAGTAATTGTAATAATAGACAGTTTAAAACAGAAGTGTTTTAAAAGGAGGAAAAATGTGTTACAATGATCTATTGATTGACACAATGCTAGATTTTCTCAATAATTTCATATTGCGTAGGTGGCACAGTAATAGCAATGGTTTAGCAGTAATAGTACATGTAGTAGTTGCAAGTTCCATCAGTTTGCATGCATATAAACATCGTAAATATACATTGCATATATATGTACGCGTAAGACACTCACACATAGCTAATACTTGATACTTTGATTCTTGTTGGTTGTCTCCTGGGGATTCTCTCAGTTTCCGTCTACACGCTCTCGTCTATTGAAAGCATAGTGACTGACATTCACTCCATTTTCTGCAATTCAACACTCTGGCTAGTAAATACCATAATGTTTACTCTATCATTTGGCGCTCTCCTTACCAAAACATGGCGTGTCGGTGCAGTTTTTCGTAACCCATGGTCAAAGAGATGCATATACAAAGACTATGTATTATTTTTGATAGTCCTCGTGTTGCTTGCTGTTGACATCCTCATACTGACAATATGGATGTTAGTTTCTCCTCTGTATATCTCAGTGAGGATGATACAAAGTCCTAGTGCTATCACAGAGCTCTCGTTTTGCAGACTCTCTGGAGAGGAGGTTTTCTTTGGCATAGTCTATTGCTAATGGTGTACAAGTCCTTCCTGTTATTACTTGGCTGTTTTCTTGCCACCCAGACTAAAGAGATCAAAGCAACACTTTTCAACGACTCAAGATTCATAGCCATAGCTATATACATAGTGTTTCTTATAGTAATCATTGGCCTACCAATGGCCATATTTTTCCTGCTAGGCCGGTACATATTGCTTAGTTTCTTTGCTATAACTCTGACTATCACTGGGCTATCGTTCACCATCAGTTGCATGCTGTTTATACCTAAACTCGTCCTGTTACACAAGACAAGGAAAGACGATTTGTTTAATGTCATGTCCACTGCTCAAAACATCAAGGCTTGTAAACCAGTAGATAGGAAGCAATCTCTGGCTAGTTTGGTGCTACTGGAGTATAGACAGACCCAGAAGCAAAGAGCTCTTTTTGCTGTTGGTCAGCAACTAACTGTTACAACTTCAAACACAGTTTCAAGTTATGATAGGAGGACGTCAGCAAGATCCAGTTTTGGCATATTACCAGGTGTCTCACCTATACTTGA